GATCTATTGCTACATTAGTGACAGGGTCCCTCATACCCTGCGGTTTATTATTATAAGGCTGGAAATGGAGTACTTCACTGGGTTTTTAAGTTATAATTTACCGTTAAAAGATCTTAGCTAAAATCTTACATGAAAAAATTATATATCTGCTAAAATGAAAAGAGTTAAACCCATGATATGTTTGAAGAGATATATAGTAATCTCAGTTATTAAAAAAAAAAACGAAAATAAGATCAGTTATTTGATATGAGAAAATATAGGAATAACCTATAATCTCCATAAACCAGTCCTTTAAAAAATTATCTTGGCACTGAAAGAACATGATAAACAAAATAACCCCTTGGCAGTACTCATGTTCCATTTAATTTTCCCCCGAGGACAGAAACTACAGGATAACTTCATGACAAGCAAAAATTACTAAAGTTTTTGAATCACTACCTAAAACTTAGTTCATTTAATGTTTCTATTTTAAAACACCAACACAGATGTTTGGCCTCTCAGCCTTGAAACTCTATGCTTTTGTAAAAAAATGTTCAGAATGTTATGCTAAATCCCCACAAGTATTGTAACAAGAATATAAATATTAATAAATCCCAAGTTGGTAAATAAGTGATTCATTAAAATAAAAGTCACATATGAACCCGTTTAAAACTGAAAAGAGCCTCTCTATAATGGAACAAAGACAAGATCTAATTTTATGAAATACTGAATTACAAAACATTAAGAGCTCATTAGTGCAGGTGCAATTGGAAGCAGCAACAACAACAAACCCAAGCTTCCCCCAACAGAATATGATTATTCAAATGAAAAGGAGTATTTTTCTAGCCCAAGGGTACCTGGTTATTCTGTAATCAATTACTAATTAGTTTATACTAAAATTAAGTTTAGAGAAAGCCTTCTAATGTAGTTCTTCAGTTAATTACAGTGCATATAATACAAATGGAAAAAAGCCTCCTAAAATAGTTTTTTCAGTTTTATCACCAGGTAGAGGGAGCCAGGATATTATCTAACTTTAGCACTTCTGGTAACCTAGATCTCTTAATCAAATTCTTTTGTTCTCTGTAATGACAGTATCAAAGTAACTGAAACAAAGGAACAGAAGTAGCAGAAGACTTGTGATTTTTACAGCAAACAAATTATGTCTTATTCTTCTCATAAAGTTTCAATAATTTCCTTCCTACAAAAATGAGAATCCATTTCTGTTATAAAAAATCCTTGTTGTATGTTTTAGATAATTTAATTATGCTTATGTGTATGTGTGTGTTTCAAGCAGAGAAAAGTTTAAATGGAAGTCAAAACTCTTCCAAACTGTATATGTCAGAGATAATCATTACTAAGGATTTAGTGTAAATATCCTTCTAGATTTTCATTATAATATACATACATACATATAATTTTAGGTCAAAATAGAATTATATCTACCTTATGTACCCCTGGTGGCTCAGATGGTAAAGAATCTGCCTGCACTGCAAGAGATCTGGGTTCAATCCCTGGGTTGGGAAGATTTCCTGGAGGAGGGCATGGCAATCCACTCTAGTATTCCTGCTGAAGGAATCCCCATGGACAGAGGAGCCGGGTGGGCTACAGTCCATGGAGTCGCAAAGAAATAATCAGACACGACTGAGTGACCAAGCACTACCTTATGTATCTTCCTGTGTGCCCACCTCACAACATGTAACAGAAGTTTTTTCCTATAGGTACATATTACAGAGCTAACTCTTTTATTTTAGTAGCCTAACAGTATTCCAAAGAAGTATTCTACCATACTTACATTAATTTATATCCAAATGGTAAACATTTAGGATGCATTTAATGTTTGATATGATAAACTATTATAGCTAGTCTCTTACACTCTAAAATAAGAATTTATTTCCAGTAGAGGTGAATTATCTCTTATCTTGTTAATTTGCTTTAACAAACCACAAAGTGCTTGTTACAAGATTACATTTTTCATTCTAGCTTTTAAGTTAGAATTTCTGAGAAAGATATTATCTGAAATGCATTTGAAAAGATAAATACACCCTGCAAAAAAAATATAACAGTAGTACCCTAAGACATTAATGTATATTATAAGGAAGACCTTAGTAGACATTTCTCCAAAGAAGACATACAGATGGCCAAGAGGTACATGAAAAGATACTCAACATCACTAATTATTAGGAAAATGTAGATCAAAACTACTACCTCACAGAATGGCCATCATCAAAAAAATCCACAAATAATAAATGCTGGAGAGAATACAGAGAAAAGAGAACCCTCATGTGCTGTTGGTAGGAATGTAAATTGATACAGCCACTATAGAGAACAGTATGGGGGTTCCTTAAAAAACTAAAAATAGAACTACCATATAATCTGCCTGCAATGCAGGAGACCCCAGTTCAAGTCCCGGGTCAGGAAGTTACCCTGGAGAAGGGACAGGCTACCCACTCTGGTATTCCTGGGCTTCCCTGGTGGCTCACACGGTAAAGAATCTGCCTACAGGGCAGGAGACCTGGGTTCAATCCCTGGGTTGAAGACCCTCTGGAGGAGGGCACGGCAACACACTCTTGCCTGGAGAATCCCTATGGACAGAGGAGTCAGGCGGGCTACAGTCCATGGGGTCACAAAGAGTCAGACACAACTGAATGACTAAGCACAGCACACAGCACCATAGAAGCCAGCAATCCCAACATTTGCTGCAGCACTATTTGCAATACGGAGGATATGGAAGCAACCTAAATATCCATCAGCAGATGTAGATAAATAAGATGTGGTACATATAAACAAATCCTGAAAGATGATGCTGTGAAAGTGCTACGCTCAATATGCCAGCAAATTTGGAAAACTCAGCAGTGGCCACAGGACTGGAAAATGTCAGTTTTCATTCTAATCCCAAAGAAAGGCAATGCCAAAGAATGCTCAAACTACCGCACAATTGCACTCATCTCACACACTAGTAAAGTAATGCTCAAAATTCTCCAACCCAGGCTTCAACAATACGTGAACCATGAACTTCCAGATGTTCAAGCTGGTTTTAGAAAAGGCAGAGGAACCAGAGATCAAATTGCCAACATCTGCTGGATCCTTGAAAAAGCAAGAGAGTTCCAGAAAAACATCTATTTCTGCTTTATTGACTATGCCAAAGCATTTGTGTGGATCACCATAAACTGGAAAACTGAAAGAGATGGGCATACCAGACCACCTGACCTGCCCCTTGAGAAACCTGTATGTCGGTCAGGAAGCAACAGTTAGAAATGGACATGGAACAACAGACTGGCTCCAAATAGGAAAAGGAGTACGTCAAGGCTGTATATTGTCACCCTGCTTATTTAACTTATAAGCAGAGTATATCATGAGAAACACTGGGCTGGATGAAGCACAAGCTGGAATCAAGATTGCCGGGAGAAATATCAATAACCTCAGATGTGTAGATGACACACCACCCTTATGGCAAAAAGTGAAGAGGAACTGAAGAGCCTCTTGTGAAAGTGAAAAAGGAGAGTGAAAAAGCTGGCTTAAAGCTCAACATTCAGAAAAATAAGATCATGGCATCTGGCCCCATCACTTCATGGCAAATAGATGGGAAAACAGTGGAAACAGTGGCTGACTTTATTTTTCGGGGCTCTAAAATTACTGCAGATGGTGATTGCGGCCATGAAATTAAACGACGCTTACCCCTTGGAAGCAAAGTTATGACCAACCTAGACAGCATCTTAAAAAGCAGAGACATTACTTTGTCAACAAAGGTCCATCTAGTCAAGGTTATGGTTTTTCCAGTGGTCATGTATGGATGTGAGAGTTGGACTATAAAGAAAGCTGAGAGCCTAAGAATTGATGCTTTTGAACTGTGGTGTTGGAGAAGACTCTTGAGAGTCCCTTGGACTGCAAGGAGATCCAACCAGTCCATCCTAAAGGAGATCAGTCCTGGGTGTTCATTGGAAGGACTGATGCTGAAGCTGAAACTCCAATACTTTGGCCACCTGATGTGAAGAGCTGACTCATATGAAAGGACCCTGATGCTGGGAAAGATTGAGGGCAGGAAGAGAAGGGGACAACAGAGGATGAGATGGTTGGACGGCATCACTGACTCAATGGAAATGGGTTTGGGTGGACTCCAGGAGTTGGTGATGGACAGGGAGGCCTGGTGTGCTGCGGTTCATGGGGTTGCAAAGAATCAGACAAGACTGAGCAACTGAACTGAACTGAACATATACACAATGGGATATCACTCAGTTATAAAAGGAACAAAATTGGGTCATTTGTACAGACAGGATGGACCCAGAGTCAGAGTGAAGTTAAGTCAGAATGAGAAGCAAATAATGTATATTAACGCATATATGTGGAATCTAGAAAAATGGTACAGATGAACCTGTCTACAGAGACGAAGACATGGAGAATGGAAGTGTGGGCATGGAGCGGGGTGTTGGGGGAGGGATGAATTGGGAAATGGGGACTGATGTATGTGTATCGCCATGTGTAAAACAGATAGCTAGTGGAACCTGTTGTTCCTGTTGTATAATGCAGGGAGCTGAGCTTCATGTTCTGGGATGATTTAGAGGGGTGGGATGGAGGAGGTGGGAAGGAGGGTGAAGAGGGAGGGGATATATATATATGTAAACAGATAGATTCACTTTGTTGTACAACACTGTAAAGCAACTATAACCCAAGAAAAAAAATGATACAATTAATACCCATATACATAGGTTAAGAAATAGATTATGAACTGAATAATTCATTTATCATTTGGATTACCCACCATTCATTGCCCTCTATTTTAACAGTACAACTGAAAACTGACTGAAAAGCGAAAACAAAAATATAGACATTAAGTAATATAGAACTGAATGTTACAAACACTTACAGAACTAGTAAAATAACCTAGTATTTTTCAAGAAAAAAAAAAGGAAGAATAAAAAGACTCCTAATATTTATGCTAAGCAATACATAAGTGTTTGTAACAGAAATGCTACGAATATCAGCTCTTCATATTATCAGATGTGGAAGGTTTAAGAACCTGATATACTAGTAATTATTGAACTGCCTGGGGAAAAAAGTATTATTCTCAAATGAGAAGAGAAATTTGAAAGAACTAAAGGTTACCTGTAGAGTACAGTTCATCATCCTTATTATGTAGTCAAACTGCTGATGATCTAGTATTGCCCGGTTCTGCTGAACATGTAAACCCAGCTCATCAGTGAGACACTGTCTTGCTGCCTTTCCTTTAAGGGCTCTCAGTGCAGCAGGAAGGGTCTGAGGACATAAGAGGCAGACATGAACAGGAGGTTTAACTGGAAAAAAATAACTTTAAATCACGCTAACTCATACATATCCTGTAAACCACTTAACAGAGCTATTAGAATTAGAAAAGAGTTGATTTGCTGTTAAGGACAACATGGATTTATAGTGATTTTTTAAATTTGTAAGGCAGCATGAAAATAAACAGGACTAGTTTATGTGACACATTTTACATACTAAAACTCTTCCACTTCTTCACCCACAAGAATGCCTCTTCCAGTTCACCTTTAGAGCCTGATTTACTGTACATAAAGTAGTGTTAACAATAGGCTTATTTAACTTTGCAAACATAAAATGAGAACAAAGGAGCAAATAAGAAGGAAGGAAAAGACTGAGAATAGGAAGTCCTACTATTGTTACAAGGGGCACAAGAAACAGTGTGAAAATTGAAAGCAAGAGAAGCAAAAGAAAGTCTGTTTAATACTCAATCATAAGAAAAAGTGGATTCCAAAAAACTCAAAACACAGACTTGAGGGTCATTAAGTGGATAAACCGACTCGATGGGCATGGGTTTGGGTAGACTCTGGGAGTTGGTGATCGACAGGGAGGCCTGGTGTGCTGCAATTCATGGGGTCGCAAAGAGTTGGACACGACTGAGCGACTAAACTGAACTGAACTGAACTAAAGTGGACAAAAACTTTGTTTCACAAGTTTTACTAGCCCCATGTAACAAACGCTCAGAACTATGACAAGTCACTAAGAAAAGGTGACATTAATGTTTAATATGTTTTATTAAAGAAAGCAAGAAAATGTGCTATTAAAGCACACATTAAAGGCATATTTAAACGAAGACCACAATTTTTATAATTCATTACTTGCTTTAACTAGATTTTTTGTAATAAAATTATATTTTAAATGTTTTTAAGTCTCTTGATGAAAGTGAAAGAGGAGGGTGGAAAAGTTGGCTTAAAGCTCAACAATCAGAAAACTAACATCATGGCATCCGGTCCCATCACTTCATGGCAAACAGATGGGAAAACAGTGGAAACAGTGGCTGACTTTATTTTTGGGGGCTCCAAAAGCACTGCAGATGGTGACTGCAGCCATGAAATTAAAAGACGCTTGCGCCATGGAAGGAAAGTTATGACCAAGCTAGACAGCATATTAAAAATCAGAGACATTACTTTGTCAACAAAGGTTCATCTCGTCAAGGCTATGGTTTTTCCAGTGGTCATGTATGGATGTGAGAGTTGGACTATAAAGAAAGCTGAGCGCCGAAGAATTGATGCTTTTGAACTGTGGTGTTGGAGAAGACTCTTGAGAGTCACTTGGACTGCAAGGAGATCCAACCAGTCCATCCTAAAGGAGATCAGTCCTGGGTGTTCATTGGAAGGACTGATGCTGAAGCTGAAACTCCAATACTTTGGCCACCTGATGTGAAGAATTGACTCACTGAAAAAGACCCTGATGCTGGGAAGGACTGAAGGCAGGAGGAGAAGGGGACGACAGAGGATGAGATGGTTGAATGGCATCACCGAATCAATGGAGATGAGTCTGAGTAAACTCCAGGAGCTGGTGATGGACAGGGAGGCCTGGCTTGCTGTGGTTCATGGGGTCGTGAAGAGTCGGACATGGCTGGGGGACTGAACTGAACTGATTGAAGTTTCTAAATAGTATGCCGAAATAGAATTAAATGAACAATGTTTAAAAGTTTCAGGGGGGGAAATGACTATCAATATTTCAGGCTTGGCTAACAGTTTAAATATTAGACACTGTTCACTTAAAATGATAAAAACAATGAAAGAATACTTTATAAGGAAGAGGTATGGAAATAGAGGAGAGGTCAGCTGGCAAGCTAAACACAGAAATCTGAAAAGGACATGATGAATGTTTACTTTGGAATGATGGCATTTTATTACCTTTTCAGTCTCCAATGTTTTATTTTCAAATATGAATGAAATGCAGTTTCTAACAACTTCCAATCTCTGTGCACTGTTGAAAACTGTTGTCACTTTATCCATTATTGAAACTATTAAAGGGATATAAGAAAAACGCAAATTAAATTTCTTTGGCAACAATAAAAGCAAGGGGAATATTATTGTTTACAGTTTATATGACTTTGTTTACATGACAAACAGGTAAGCCTTTTTTCCCCCTTGTTACATGACACTGAAGGTACTTCATCACTTTGATTACATTTCTATGTTGTGAAGTGACAGGTTAATCAATAGCTTATTGAGGATAATTTCACAGGATAGATGCTAATACTGTACTTATCTCTTACACAAATTAATTCACGTTGCACAGTAAAATTTTATTAAACAAAGATAAACATCTCTTTTTTTAACCTTTAGTTGTAAACAAATAGCTAAGAAATGTATCAGGTACAAGATCATGACAAACACAGCTAACGCTCATATTTAAGAGGACTGACTACTAATAGGAAAAGAAGCTGATATTTCTAACATATTACCAAAGAAAAACCACATACCACAAAAAATTAGGTTCTAAAAATCTGAGTATCGGTGACCTGAAGAAGCGCTGCACACAAACAAAAGTGATCATGGCCAAAGAATTGCTTTACAAACTTGGGAGAGTCACTTGTCGGTTCTGTGAACTTAGTACCTGTCAACTTTACAAGATTGGATAATTCTAGTGTACTACATAAGCTAAAATTACTGAAAACAAATGTAACTTATTAAAAGAATACTAGAAGATATAAATTAAATCAGTATTCATTAGATAAAAAGTATAATTTCACAAAGAACTACACAATACCATTTGTACAAATCAGGTAAAAAAAAAAAAAAACAAATCAGGTAGTAGCTATAATTCTTAAGCCTTATATTTTACGATTGCTCTTACCTAACAAGAAAAACCATAATACCATATTCTTGGCCTTCCTTTCATTTCATCAACATGAAATTTTACATTCTTCAAACAATTTTTTAAACTTAAAAAATCTGAAATAACTATGAGCTTAAACAAAGTTACAAATTAATACAGAGAAGATCCATGCACTCATCACCCAACTAAGCACCTAACTATAGTGCTTTATCAGAATCAGGAAATCAATCTTGGTTTTTACTAGTTCTCTTGAAATCATTTAAAATTATGTAACATTAATGACCATGATGGTAAAATAGATTAGTTCACATGACTTTCTCTGTCTGAAATGTGCGTTCTTTATTTTGTACTCCTGAGTTTCCCACATGTGGAGGTCTGTGGCATACACAGAAACTGAAATTGATCTATATTTAGAGTAGAAAATGTCTCAGTCTCCAAGTAAGACCACATATTTTAGAGAGCAACATCTTTAACCTATTTTTATAAATTTTTAATTCTAAAATCTCTTTCACAGCATTTTAAATTTTCTTTAGGATGAACCATTAAAAATCCTACCTTTTAAAATAATGAATCTGTTTACCATCTGGAAGTTATTACTTTCCTTTGGAGACTATGACTTAGTTCATTCCCAGGAGAAAGTTCTTCATTTAGAGTTTGATATATCAGGGATTGGCCAAATCCTCAGCTATGGCATTCTAATACTAGCTTTCTAACAGTTGATAACAACTCTGGTTTATGGGTATTCAACTTTTCAGGTCTTCCTTCTTAAGGTTCTGGCTTTCAAATGCTATTTTTAGCTGTTCATCATCACTCTGGCACCTCTGAGGAATAGCTGGAAAGTAATTAACTTCTCAAAATGTGAATGGTTCTTCAAGTGACATAGCAATTCTACATTCATATTAAATGGGTATCATGTAAGATGAAACATTCATATTTTAAAAATATTAATACAAGGAAAATCCTGATTCTGATCAACTTAAATGAATCAGAAAGTTGGACAGAGGTCCCTGCATTCATTTTTCACTCATTCATTCATCATTCTTTCATTTATTTGTTCATTCATTCAAAATGAATGCAGTCCATGCAGGGACAAATACTGAGTCATATGTATTTCTCTCACTGACTACAATGAGAGATTTCATATGCATATAAAAAATTTGATGTTGACTGAAAATGAAGAAAGTAAAGAGATTACACAAAAATAAACAAGCAGATAAAAATTTAAACCAACTTCATGTGTTTTTAAGGAAAGCATTCAACTAAGTTATGAATATTAAACTTATAAGATGAAACCCTTCAAAAAGTAACTACCCTAACACATTGGCTTCTCCATTTTCTTTTCCATGTGAAAGTATAATCAACACTTAAGTATAAGCTGGTAATATCTAGGGAAATTATAGCAAATTAGTATTAGTAAGTAAATAATAAGTAATATTCACATTATTATATAATATCCCTGACCAGGGATCAAAGCTGGGCCCCCTGCATTGGGAGCATGGAGTCTTAGACACTGGATCACCAGGAAGTACCTGTTTCTTATATCTTGATTAAAAGTTTACCTTTAAAACAAACAAATGGATAAATACATACCAACAGGTGGACCTGCAGGCACAACACATTTCTTTTCCACTCTTGAAGCAGGAGGTGCATTTTGATTCTTAGCAAGATTTTCCTGTATTAATTCCTGTACCCGAGTTTCATTAATTTTAGGGAAAGGAAGAATATGAACTCGCAAGTGGGATCCTTCTGTTGGGCGTGGAACTTTCTGAAATGCCATATGAGGGTTTGGATTCTCCTGCAATATTAAACATAGGTAAGATTATTTAAAAGTTAAAATAACAATGGCAGATTGTTGGCCAGAGGGACAGAAACTGAAATCAGACAGGTGAGAGACTGTACATACATTCAGATATATGCCATAAAATAGAGAGTCCTGGAATATATAAGCTACCAGCAGCATCTGATACAGCTGATCGATCATTCTTTTTGCTCTTCAACACACACTTTCTTCACTTGGTTTGTAGATTTCTTGCTACATCTTTTTCTATTTTTTATCTCCCTAATCTCATAACTATGTGAATACCCCAGGGCTCAGACCACAGGCCTCTTTTTTATTTACATTTACTTCCTTGGTGAAAACTTACAGTCTCGTATTTTTAACTACAAGAACACCAATGATTCACAAATTTTGGTCTCCAAGTAAGTGTCCTCCTGAACTCCATATCCACATATTCAATAATCTGCAAATACTGTTTCCATTTGGATTTAAAACAACATCTTGAATATATGTTCAAAACGAACACTTAGTATTCATCTCCTCCAAAACTGCTATCTACAGTCTCCCTCACTTCAGTAATCATTAACGCCTTTCTCTAATACCCCATTATCCATTCCTGTGCAAACCTTTAAATTGTGTCTTTAAAATATGTCTAAAAAAAATTAAAAAAAATAAAATATGTCTATACCCTGACTACTTTTCAACACACCTTGGTTTAAGTCAGCATCTCTTTCATATTGTTACAGAACAGTCTCCTAACCTGTCTCCCTGCTCCACGCTTGCTCCCACTCTCACTCTATTTTTAACACTGCAGACAGAGTGATCTAGCTAAAGCATATCAAATTATTATCTACTTATTCATAATGAGTGGGACACGATGTTGAACACATATCAGGACCACATTAGTTAAATTAATTGTGTCAGCTGATATTTTCATAGACCCTCCGAGTTGGCATGGAGTTTTATCCAGCCACTACTTACATAGAATTATATTTCAAATACTACAGGCAGAGTGGAATCCATACTTTTTACATAGCTCCATATGAAAGGCTGCTGTACAATCATTCTTAGGCCAACTCTTACATTTACCATTCGGTGAAACCAGAAAATTTCTTTTTCCTTCGGAACCTGCATTATTTATGTTGTGCATTAAACTCTATACTGCCCTACATATTCTCTGGACAGTTAAAATGGCCAACCAGCATCATCTACCAGAGCTGCTCCCCACAATTTTTTCTGATTATTTGGCCCATACCCAGATAAAGGAAAGGCAGGATCATAGTAGAGGTTAAAGGGAGCATATGTGAGTAACAGAATGGAAAATATACTCCTTTAAGTGTCAGAAAGCCTGGGTTCTGGTTTCTGCTCTACTCATTATGTGATGCTGGATGAACAGCTCAGCCTAAGTCCATAAAAGTGCGCCTTGTCTTCTTGCACTTCACTTTACTGAGCTTCATCAGCTCAGTTCAGTCACTCACTCGTGTCCGACTCTTTGCGACCCCATGGACTGCAGCACACCAGGCCTCCCTGCCCATCACCAACTCTCAGAGCTTACTCAAACTCATGTCCATTGAGTAGGTGAGGCCATCCAACCATCTCACCCTCTGTCATCCCCTTCTCCTCCCGCCTTCAATCTTTCCCAGCATCAGGGTCTTTTCAAATGAGTCAGTTCTGTGCATCAGGTGGCCAAAATGTTGGAGTTTCAGCTTCAGCATCTGAGCTTCATAGTTACTACCTTTATGACAAATTGAAGGTTTGTGACAACCCTATGTCAAACAAGTCTATTAGCACCATTTTTTTCCAACAGTATTTGTTCACTTTGTGTTTCTGTGTCATGTTTTGGTAATTCACATAGTATTTCAAACTTTTCATTATTATATGTGTTAAGGTTATCTGTGGTCAGGGATCTTTGATGTTATTATTGCAAAAAGATTATGACTTACTGAAGGCTCACATGATGGTTAGCATTTATTTTTTTAACAAAAATAATATTTTTAAATTAAGGCATGTACATTGTTTCTTTTAGACACAAATACTATTGCACACAACAGACTACAGTATAGTGTAAACACAACTTTTATACACATTGGGAAGCCAAAAAATTCACATGACTCACTTTATTGTGATATTTTTCTGCAACTCACAATATTTCCAAGTTATGCCTCTACTTACACTCTCTTAAATGATTCCTGAGAGGGTGAAATCAGGTCAAAAACTTGTTCTTGCCAAAGTAGCTCTCATATACATTTTGTATTCCCCCTAATATATAAAGCTATATTAGTAAAGACAGAAAAAAATAAATAAATTCCTAAGCCAAGTCTTCACAATCACCACTATCTAAACTATATGCTGAAAAAACTGTTCTAAATTTACACCAGGATTAACACCAATATCACTGGTCTGGAGTTTCTGAAATTTTACCCTTTTCTAAAAGCAGTATGTTCTCTGTTCTTTAAACACAATATCTAAGATACTTTATCTTCTCAAAAATTATAAATATAAATTTTCTAAAACTCATTAGACAGATAATTCTTTCAGGCTGGGGAGGTAATTCATGTGAATTTTGAGTTCTGAGTCATTTAAAGTATATTCTTCACTACTTCTGTTTCTATATATACTTATTTTCTTTATAATAAAATTAAAGCTAAATATATTTCCTATGATGTAAATAATATTTATTAAAATGAATTTTAAAACATGGAAAAATAAAAATAGAAAAGAAACCTTCTTAGTGATGATAATATCTTTTCTAGCATATTTTATCTCTCTCTTACTACATATTCTTCTATCTTATTCCAAAAATAACTTAAGGTCGTTTAGAAAAATAAAGATACACATATTGATTGCTTCTAGTCAAAAATTCAGTAATGTTACAGGTTCATTTTAAACTGCATAAGGAAGACTGAAGATCTAAAAATAGTCAAGGGAATTCTGAAGAGTAAATGGAGAAGTCAAACTCTCCAGATTATAAAACTTACATAAACTTTTAATATTTAATACAGTATGGTAACTAGTATCACTGAGGGTTAAAGGGCTAATGAAATCAAGAAGCCCAGAAACAGGACTATGAGTGAAAATGTGAAAGAGATGGGAGGCACTATAATTCAGAAGGAAAAGTTAAAACAGTTCAATGAAAGAGGGTAATACAACAAAATATTTTTAGCTCATGGTCTCTGATGTCAGACTGCCTGGACTGAATCCTAGCTTAGCCACTCACTAGTAGTGTGGCCTAGCGTAGTATCAATTCTCTTACTACTTGTGTTTCAGTTTCCTCATCTGTAAGGAAGATAATAATACAATACCTACTTTATAAGTTTCTTGTGAGAGTGGAACAAGTTATTATAGGAAAACTTCACAACACACACACATATTTCCCCTGGATAAATCTAAAGCTCTTTCCCAAAAGTCGACAGTATATTCATCTGAAAAACGTTCAGTCATTGCATATTCTATGGCATGACACCAAGCTTCTAAAACTAAAACCCCACTTCTTTTTCCATCATATCATCCATCTATTCCCATGTATTTCCATCATATTATATTTTTAACAACAATAGTATTCAATAAGTGTTTAAATAAAAAATCACTTATTAGAGAAAAGATATAGCTATTCGTCACTAATAGTGTTTTTCTTCTTATAACCAAATCCATATACAATTTAGAACAATAAGCACCTAAAACAAAAATTATCACCACAGAAAACACTGGTGTTACCTTTCTTTCAATATTTGCCAACTGAATTACCAAAATTTTCTTACTATTATTTTAATTTGCATTTCTTGGTTTAATTTTAGCATTTTAATGTTTACTGGCCTTTTTGATTTATAAGAGTTGGATATGTGATAAGCATATCCTTTATTAAAAACCATTTATTCTGCAAAAAAATAAAAAAAATAAAAAAATAAAACAAAGTTCATATTCTTCAGTTGTACAGATAGTCTTCATAAAATTCAAATTATGGGTTAAACTTACTGAATAATAATATATTTAACTGTATTTAGAAAATTCAAGAAAGGCTCATGCCCCAAGATCTAGTATTGAACACTATTTGGTCTTCTGGCTGCCGTATCTGTACACTGCTGCCCTCTAACGGGCAGTATGGTAATTATAAAGGACCTCATTCACCACCTTGCACCCAACTTGGTCTTCTGAGAAGACAGCAGAAATGAGAGACATTTTAAGGGCTGGCTGAACTCTGCATGTTCTTGGAAACAAGTGATCTTATTTATAACTCCAAATGAATTTAGAACAATCCCTTGAAGACTACTGAGCTCATTAAAAACCGCAGACCAATTCCATTGTTTAATCAACATGTTGAAATAAGAAAATGCATTATTTTCCAAAAGAACAAAGCAGCAGCCAAATGGTCATCTTTGATTTTAGAGAAGTGCAAATATAAAGTAATAACTAAGGATTTAGACAACTACATATTTAAGGTGAACATAATTCTGTCCAAAGCAACAAGCTGGCAAAATGTACTATTGTTTGGAGGAAATTTTAAAGTTGGATAATGATTTTCAAGAAGTGAGCTCTGTAATCCTGCTCTTAGAGAATACTCCATCAATAGGAAGTACAATGATTTTCTCAGACTTGAAAACCTGACACATAAGCCATCTGGTCTGAAAACATGGATTTCCTTCTGGCAAACAAAATGAGAATATGCCTAGAGCTTATAGAAAACAAGGCTGAGAAAGTATTTCAAATAAAAGCAAAACAAAACAAAACAAAAAGGCCCAAACTCTACTGGAAATTCAAAGTAGGCACACTGGGAAAAAAAGCTTCTTCCACACTGGTCTCAATGATAAATCAATGTGTTTCTATCAGAGGTTACCAAGTTTCCCATATTAATTTAGGTATTTAATAATTATTTAATGTGTACCAATCATATCTAGAGCTGTTATACATACTCTTAAAAATCCACTCAAATACAGCCAAAAGAAAACTATCATTGTTATACATACTCTTAAAAACCCATTCAAATACAGCCAAAAGAAAACTATCATTTAATGAATCGTTGA